AAAGTGGTAACACCAAAAGGCGTTGTGGAAAAAAGCTGCCAGGGGCCAAGAATGTCCACAGGGCCGGACATATACCATTTCATTATGGGGTCTGAAGGTAGGAAAATGCGTCTATCAGAAACACAGATATTAAAGTTTTATCTAAAGCCTGATATTCAGAAAGTAATGAAATGCAAAAAGTTGAACGAGTAAACTATCACCAGGATTATCTAAAACGGTCATGATTGACATCCGGGGTGTTAAAGCCCCTCCCCATCCAGGCCATTTTTCAGTATTCAGCGCTGCGGTACTTTGACTGACATTTATTCCGTCATGCAGCGCTGTACTGAAATGAATTTTATACCCTTTTTTGGGGACACATAGAGCTTTATTTTGGTGGTATTTAATCACCACTGGGGTTTTTATTTTTTAATATATTAAGGAAAAACTACAGATTTAAAAAAAAAAACAGTTCCCCCTATATTAAATTCTAAAACATTTATTATTACCAAATTTTTTGGTAAAATATAAAAGACGGGGTCACGTCGGGTAAAGAGACACCAAACATGTCAAGCCTTAAAATTGCGCATGCGCGCGAAACCTCAAAAAAACTACATTACCCAAAATTGGCCATAGGCGACGCATTAAAAGCTTTTACCGCTCATCAGTTTAGTGTTATCAGTGATTGATGGCCCTAAAATGATTGCGCTCACTGCGACGTTCGCTTCAATATGTAACATGTGTAGCGCAATTGTAATTTTCGCGCGCTGGCGCATGCGACGCATATTTACGTTTATATGTGCGTAAGTGAAGGGGGGGGGGTTACTTTTTTTGTTTGTGACTTTAATTTTTTTAACTTTTTGTTATTTATATAGATTTTTTTTTTTACACTTATTGTTATTGCTATTACATAGGGGGATACCATCCCCCTATATAATAGCACAGGTACACTGACAGGTCCTCTTTATGGAGACATTAGGGGTCTCTAGACCCCTAATGTCACCTGGAGACCCCAAAAGAAGCTGATGAAGCACAGATTTGCTTCATCAGCTTCTCTCTGGCAGTAGGAGCCAGATGACTGACAGGTGAATGCGGAAGTGATGTAATACACATCACTTCTGCATTCACACTACAGAGAGAGAACCGCAAGGAACTGATCTCCCTCCCTCCTTCTCCTGACGCCCTCCCGAGCCGGTTCCGGGCCGCAGATGGGCTAGCGAATCCCGGGATTAAAGGTGAGGGGGGAGATGGCGGCACTCGCGATTGGGGTGGGGGGCGCTCCGAAATTCACGCCATGCAACCGATCGGCGGCTATAGAGCCGCTGATCGGTTGCATGTGAAACAGCCGTTAACGGCTGTAGTAACGAGCTGGTCTTTCCTGCCCGTGCGCACGCGCTAGGGGGCGCGTGCGAGCAGGAAAAAAATGCCGTCTGGAGACGGCAACCCGCTGATGCGAGTCTGCCGTCCGTTTTTTCTTAACGGGCGGACGGCAAGAGGTTAAAGCTGAACCAGGAAAACGGCTAAATTCATAAGTTCCAATTAAAAAAAGCAATTTTACTCACTAAAACATTTGCATTAATTTCCATCCACTTTTTAGATTTGCAAAAGTCCTAATTTTTCTCTACTGCTAAGTAACACATACGGGTCTTGTCCTTCCCCCAGCCTAAAGCTGGCCATACACCTAGAGATTATTTGCAGATTTGCTATGGTCAGATGGAAAAAGTGCAACAGATTCCTCCATCTACGCTACACTGTGTGCATCCAATCAGATTGTTCAGGTCTTTTGACAGCCAGCGGGGCCGACTAGCAAGATACTGAAGCTTGGCCCAATGGGAGATTCCCCCATCCACACAGTGTAGCATAGATGGAGGAATCTGTTGCACTTTTTCCATCTGACCACAGAAAATATGCATATAATCTATAGGTGTATGGCCAGCTTAAGACTGGACAGTGAAAAGAGAGACCGCAGACTGCCGAGCTCATCAGTCACTCTGCTTTCTTCTATACTCATTCCTGTTGTTCCCACGTTAGAACTGCAGACTAACTCCTTGTGCTGCATCTCTTAGTTCTGCTGTACAAGGACTGCAAAAGACTGATACCAAGCAAATATAGGTATGCTACTTGCATTTAAGGCACACAATTAATGATATTTCAATGAATATAGAGCTGCATGTTTTACGCAAATTGGTCAGAAAGAATTAACAGTTTTTGTTGCCCATGCAAACCAGTCGGAATCCCCTGTGCTTCCTGAGAAGCATAGAGATTCTCATTGCTACGAGAATTACTCCTCCACCAGCAACCTGTATGCATGAGGGTTTTAGTGCCGAGCCCAGTAACCCATAGCAACCAACCAGTCATGTATCGTTTATCAGCTGATTTTTGGTGTGGGTAACCTCACATTATTACTTTGTCAACCACGTTAATAGAGATCATTGTGGGCTTTTCTGGTAATGACGAATTCTTAGCCTGCTGTTTGTTTACACTTTAAGGATACATAGATGTTCCTCGGTTTTATTACATTATCTCTTTTCCCCTAGAGGAGGACAAATCCGGTCATACCAATAATTGTGATAGATAGCAAAAGACGCTTTTTGAGGTGATGAATTAAAAGAAGGAAAAAAATAAAAACAAACCCACGCAGGCCTACTTTATTTTCCCGTAAGAATGCAGAGAGTTTAGATTTATAGCACTGACAGTTATATTGCAGTATAATACAATTACATCAGTTGTATATCTTACTGCGTAGTTATAATGTTCACAGCCCTTTTAAATCCTCCTTACAGTTATGGTGGCATTTATTGCCCATTGACCTTGCGGATAACATTTAATAATGTCACCATAACCTTTTAACCCCGCAGCCTCGCTGCTTTTAAAATGTTCATTTTGCTACTGTGCTGCGAGGGCGCTCGGCTTTTTCTCTATAGGGTTCTTAGTGTATGTGTTTGTGAATGTATATATCAAATTAATTTGCATTCTCCAGCTCATTCATCATTGTGAATTCTACCAGTAATATACTCTTCCATGGGAAATTTGATGTATATAAATTGTACACAGCACTCAATAAAGTTGACTGTTATTGTGATAATTTTTAATTTGTCTCTTTATAACTGCTCTCGAGTGATACCAAGACGGGCAGCTGAGAAGCAGATTTAATTTACAGGAAATGAGATTGTGCTGAGATTTAAAATGCAAGTTCAAGATTCTTTTCTATGGGAAGTTGGAGGAATGACAGGAATGTAGGATACATGAACACTTTAGCATTGTGATAACATATGTGTATATGTATGTTGGGTGGCGCTACCATTCATTTGCAATTGCACACCAATGCACATATAAAAAAATAAAACACACTTTTGTTACAGCAGCCCACTAATTTTGAATTACTAACACACCTCAACAGTGCTATTAGGCCCTTACGTGCTAGTAGAACACGTAGGCCAGAATGTCCCTTGCTGGGGACAAATTGAATCTTTCCATAAACTTGCAAACGTCATCTGAGAACAAATAGCCGCGAGAGACCTGCCTGTCTTCACTTGAACTGACACAGCACCAGGATTGTCTGTCTTTGAGAAAGTTTCGTGGTGGAAGGTTCATTCACTCTTCTTAGCAAAGGGCCCAGTCAGCTCAGAGATTTTTTCATCATGCTGGCACACCTTGACGTGCAGTAGTTAGTTATTGTTTAACTGAACTTCACCCGTCAGACCAGAAGAAAGCTAAAGCCATAGGCAGAGATCGCCTATAAAAGTTGAACTTGGCCCTTCCCCTTTTGTCTCTCATAGCTCCCTATTGCCACTTTTTAAATGTTATTGATGGCCTCACTGCCCAATAGGTAACTGAGGAGGCATGAGGGTTTGTTCCCAAGCTTTCACAGGAAATGTCAAGATGAATTATGGACCTTGGTTTATTTTATTTATCATTTATTCATTATCGGTATTTGTATAGCACCAACCATTTTACGCAGCACTTCACATTCACGTCAGTCCCTGCCCCTGAGGAGCTTACACAGTTCCTATCTCGCATGCATATGTACAAGGGCCAAATTTAGACAGGAGCCAATTAACCTTCCAGCATGTCTTTTGGATTATGCATTGTTTCAGCATATGCTTAGTTGGAATTGTAGGGGCGAATAGGGCACATGCATTGGGTGACAGCGTCAGTGATAACTGAAGGATTGTTCCAGTTAATCCATAGAAGAGCGATCCTTTAACTGCATATCTATTAGACATGTGCACTGCCAAAAAAATCGTTTAGTTTTAAATTCGAATTTGTGTTATTTCGTTTTTCGGGATTCGGGTGTGAAAGTCAATTCGGATTTGGAATTCGGATTCGGACGAAATCCGTTAGCGGTAGTTCGTTCGAACGTTCGTTTCGTTTTAGTTTCTTATTCGTTTCGCTCATTCGTTCGTTTGCAGCAAAGTGACATTTGAATGTTTTCCTTCAACGAACGAATAAGAAACGAAGACGAAACGAACGTTCCAACGAACTACCGCTACCGAATTTCGGAAACGGAAACTCGGATTCGTTTGCATTCGTTACATCTGTAATTTGGATACATCCGAATGTCCGAATTTCCGAAAAATGCGTCCGAATTTCGATTCGGAACGAAACGAATCGCACATGTCTAATATCTATGATGCTTGGCCAGCAGTTTAGAAAGACACATTCAGCTATGTTAATCAATCCCAGGTATTCTTTAAACATGTGACCATCAACTGCCAAGTGGCTGGAGAAATACAATGTTGATGGTCATGCTTAGGATTTAATTTGAGCTTTGGAAGATTTGGGGCAAGGCCTTATTTTTTTTTTTTTTTGATCTGAAATTTTAAAATTATGGCGGGTAAGTGTGTATCCGGACTGTATTCACCAGATCAGCGAAATACATACAGGCATAATAGAAACTTCATCTTAAAATGGGCTTTTCAATTCTTGGTAGGGTGATGAAGGATTTGCTTTCCTACCAAGTTGTTAAAGGTCTGTGGACCCCAGATGAGGAGGTCCCCCCACCACCACCACTGTGGCAATGACCAAACTAGCCAAGTGTGTAATATTCAGATGAACAAGTCATGCATCGATGGCATTTCAAACTGTAAATAATTTTGCCAACATATATAAAATGTTTACATTTTCTTTTTTTACATTATTTCCTAACAGGAACTCTTGGAGTAGTTACAGAAGTGACAATTAAAATCAGGCCTCTTCCAGAATATCAGAAATACGGTTCAGTGGTCTTTCCAGACTTTGAGCAAGGTGTGGCCTGTTTGAGAGAAGTTGCAAGACAGGTGAGTTTGGCATAAAGATGGATTTAAATGTTAAAATAAAGGATAGTGCAAATAATGCAGAAATGTATTGTACAGTTTTTTTATTCTATAAGTGAAACCAATGCTGAGAAAATGTGCGGGCTGCCATTGCTGACCTCCTCCTGAGACCTAACAGCATGTGAGCTGGGATACTATCTGCATGGAGTGTGCATGTCCTCTGTGTGTTTCCTCCCACACTCCAAAGACATGCTGGCAGGTTAAATGGCTTCTGCCTAAATTGGCCCTTGTATATGCATGTATATATGCATATGAGATCAGGACCTTGGATTGTAAGGTCCTTAAGAGCAGGGACTGATGTGAATGTGCTCTATGCAAAGTGCTGCATACATACTGCACTATATAAATACCTGTAATAAATAAATGTGAGAAAAATAACACTCCTCCTGCCCGGTTTTTACAAATGACCCAGTGCACAGAGAGATTAGGTGCCCACTTGAAGAGCTTGTCCACACTCCCAATCTATGCAGTCTTTAATTCCAAAGAGCCGCCTTCTGATGCCATAACTCCAAAAAAAAAAACAGCTTTATTGACTCCGACAAGGTACCGCTATTGAAGATCATGCCATCCAATAATTTGGAGAGCCTTGCTCCTCTGGCTCATTTGACCACATTCTCCTTAGTAGTGAAGTAACTTGTTTATCTTCTTAGCTATTTGGTATAATTTATATTTTTAATCATATGCATTTAAGGTAAATTTGAACTAATAATACTAATATTGGCCATTTGTGTCACACATTTTTACAGAAGACATTCGGACTGAATCAAGTAGTGACTTTATGGAATGTGCAATTTGTGCCCTGTTTTCTGTTGCATTTCAATGGGGTCTTAACCTTCTTTAGCAGTCACATGTCTATGTCAGAGTTGAAGACTTTTGACTATCGTAGAATAAGCCTCTTGGTTCTGGTTTTTAACGCACAAGGGCAGAATTGATTGTCATGTTAACTCATAAGTTTACTCTGTGCTTCTTTGCTGGTTTGCTTAACAGGTGTTCACCTGCTTCTAGCATATAAAGTTTACATTTAAAACTTGTACTCCAGGCAATTGCTCAAACACAACCGGTTTAAACCTGACTCCCGACTGATAAAAACCCAACCAAACTTTCAGATTCCGCACCCCTCTACACATCGCCATCTGTAATTTTTAATAACAGTATAAAAACTCTTAGTGCCCTAAAAGTAGCCGCATAGTCATGTGATGACTTCTGTTCCTTTCTCTGTCGCTCCAGCGATGGGCTTTAACAATGCTCACATGTTTGAACGTCCCGACGTTGAGTGCTATTCTATAACTGTTTTTACTGCAGCTAGTGCAGGTATCCGTGTGGCATCACCCCTGATGAACATTGGGGCATGCTTATGACTTCCTCTGCTCACACCTCCTACTAGAATGATGCTGGACATCAGTAAACAAGGAATTGAGGCAGCAGCTGCTGAAGAACAACGATAGAGGGATACAGCGATATAGACAAGGTAAGTATTACTTTTAAAATTGCACACAGCAAAAAGGATGGGGGGAGGGGAGGGTATAATTAAAAATAATCAGCTAGAGTTGAGCAGGAATGCGTCAAATTACTGCATTTTTAAAAATACATATATGTGACTTTTTTTTTCCCCATGCCAAATGATGTTACTCTGTTTACTCTGATTTACACACTTCTGCCGCACTGCACAGCCAGACATGTTATACCCTTTACCCCTGTACTGGTTCCTGTCACCTTTTTGGACAGTGTGGCAAAGAGGTGTGTATCATACTACTGACTAATTTGAATTGCAAAAACTTTGACAAGTAAGATTGTACATACAGATACATAGGTTTTAACCATTTATTTATTGGTTTGCCTGGAGTTCCAGTTATGTTTTTATACCTATGCAATATATGAAAAGCGCAACATAAAAAGTTTGAGGAGAACATGGATAATAGCATGCTTTGTATTAATCAGCCCCTAGCTAACCTATTATATCCCCAGCTGAGAGGTCCCTGGACTTGGTTTCCCACCTCTACCTATCTGCTATTCCAGCTGTGATGGGTGGTGTCTTCTTCCCCCTGCTTTACCTTCCATGTAGAATCGGTTTTAGGTGGTTTGCATACTCCTCCATATCCAAGTAGTCTGTTAGAGTCACAGAGTTAAAAACAAATCCATGTTAGTTAAGATTTCCCTATACAGTTAACCTTGTGATATGTGTATTGTGTTTCTGCTTTGAAGTGCTGCAGCCTTCACTGTTTATGACAGAGAGATAATTTATTATTGGAGAAAATAGCACTCGTAACCGCACATTAATTAACTGAAGTGTTTAGAGAGGTTAGAGTGCTGATCTGTGGATTCAGAGGGATAAAACAAAATTAGGCAGGTATTAAATTAATTTAAGTAGGGGGTGCAGTTAGAGTAAGTAAATAAAGTCACTGGAAGGGTTCTGAACTTAGCAGCACAGCCAATAACAATGAGATTTATGGGTTTGTCCAACCTGGATTTAAAGCCCTCAGAGCGTACTACAGACACAGATCCAACTTGGGAACAGTTGTAAAATTGTCACTGATGCTGAACTGTTCACAAAGTCATGCCAGCTATATAACATCCTGACCAGCTGCAGGGCTTTTACGTGCTGCAAACTTCTAGATAAGCGGCCCATTTTGTATAGTAATAGTCTGGATTAAACCCTTCACATTCAGAGGATTTTGTATTTAATCAAACACTTAACTCCACAAAGCACTGTCTGCCTCGAAATTGACTTCATTACATACTGCATTTCCATTGCAGTTTATAATAGTGATAGACATGTGGAAGAAATAAGGAATAAAAATTACAGATCAGTTCGAGATCAGACTTGTAGCCACACAACATAGACGTATAGTATTAACGTATTTTGTCTTGCACTTTTTTTTTTTTTTGCTTTTATATGTTGTGAATTGTTTTGGTCAAGATTTTATTGCGGTCTGTGTCCCTATTGGGAAGATTTGCCTCTCCATTTGTCCTGGTAACCATTGTCACTGGGACAGAAAATCAGGGGAAACCAAATTTAGGGGCCAATTTATAAACCTAATTTGCACAAAGGGCCCTGGGAATATCTGAACGTTGTTTGTTCGAATGACGGCAAAAACATGTTAAAGGAGAACTATGAGGTGAGTGCTTTTCACTCACCTCATAGTTCTAGCCGAATGAGCAGTAGCTCGCGGTATGCTGAGCATAGGGTGACGGGAGGACGCTAGTTTGTGTCCCCCCTTACCCTAAGGAGAACTATGGGGAAAAGCCTTAACCCCATAGTTCTCCTTTTAATGTATTTTCTTTTTAGGTTGAATAAACTGTAATGTAATACTGCATTATGACCACTAGATAGAGCTGAAGAGCATAGGAAATAAGTATTTATTATGCTCCTCAGCTCCATCTAGTGGCTATAACGCAGTATATCATCACAATACATTTGATCTGAATTTTGCCATTATTTGCACAAAAGGAACATTCACAGATATTCATAGGACGAAGGGCCCTGCAAATTGTTTATAAATAGACCCCTCTGAGTTTTCACCAGAAGAGGTGAGGATAAATCTTTAAGGGGAGGCATCTGTTCTGGTGACGACTGTCTAAGATTGAATTACTTCAGTTTGGGAAACCTCTAACTGACAGGAAGTCAAAGAAAATCTTCCTAAAAGTACACAGACTGCAAGAAATAACTGGATGTGTTTAAACCAGGGATGCACCGATACTAGTATCTATGCTGATACCGAGTATTTGGGCGAGTACTCAGATACCTTCCCCGATATAAGTACAATTTAAACTGGCTTTTCACCACTATACAGAAGAAATAGAGAATAAACCTAGGAGCCCATGTTCAGAGTGAGCTATTGCAACACGCATTCATTTTCAGAGTGGGTAAAATATGTTTCTTCTAAAGGATACTTTTTAAAATGGTGCCTAAGCCTCCGCCCCCTCCCCAGCTTCTGTAAAACTGAAACTAAGAGGACTTTGAAGCTAAAAGCCATTCTGCAGGCACAAATGTATCTCCCCCTTACCCAATTAGCACTGTTTTTTCTTTAACCTTCTGAAGAGATTTACTCCTTCGTCACTGTATCCATACTTGTAATATTGCAATGTAGATGTGTCTGCGCTGGCTGGTCCCTACCTGTTCCTTTTAACTGATGTCACTACTGAGACTCCTCGTCTGGATCCTGAGATGACCCCACTGCTGGATAGCCAATAGGAAGTGTCTTTGTCATGCAGGCAATGACCTGGGCTCTCAAAGAAGGCCCTCGGCTGTACCCAGAAAAACAAAGAAGAGTCAGGATTAAAGCATCATATGACCATAAAAGGGAGCATTCAAATCCCATTATTCATCATAATTACTACATTAATTTTTAGACCTTATAGATTTCTGTGCTGGATAAACCTTCTTATTGATTTCTGTGCTGGTTAGAGACAATTGTTCTTAATATTTTTACCATTGACCACGGTCACTGGAACAGGAAGTGATGTAAATCTTCTTAACAGGGACACTGATAGTAAGAAAAACCTAATGGACTCTAGCCCTCATGCTGTCCAAATATCCACGTTAAATCTGTGTATTTTGGAGCCATGCAAACTGTTATTATTTCAGACACTTTCATAAACAAGCTTTGTAACTCCTGTTAGTGCAGAATTTTGAATTTCTTGGAACATAATGGATATTTTTTTGATAAGTAAATGTTGACTTTGAACCATTTATACATACCAATGCCTATTATGTCCAGTTCTGGCAGTTCTAATGCAAGTTTCTTTTGTTCTGCATTTGTTTCTCTTGAAAGTTTTCTATAAACAAAGCCTTTTTATTCGTGTTTTCTTTGGTAGTAACATGCCCTAAAATTACAGCCAAGATCCGCTTGGTAATGTTCAAAGCTTATTTAACTTTATCTTAAGAAAAAGTCTGTTCCTGCCTTTAATTAAAACATGAGAAAGAAATGAAATTCTTGCCAGTAACCCGGGAGTTTGTTTGGACT